CACTCGCTGAGACTCATCCTCTAATACCAAATGTAGCTCACATGGTTTTGACCCTTTATCCTATGGTGATTTACCATAGGATATGAAGCGGAATCTAAACCCTCTTTATGCCACGTGATGCATGCCATGTGTCACATGCCACATGTCCATAAGATAGTGGTGCGGAACCCGAGGTTCAAGGCCTTAGGCCACTGAATAAAGGAACAGTGCCAAACTCCCAAGCATGGAGCTAAGGAGCATTAGCACTGGAGCACGGAACGACTCCCGAGCATATATCCCAAGGAGTGAAGGGACAGAAGCCCGAAGCGACTTGGAATAGTCCTGGAGCAACTAGCATCCCAATGCCAGGACCAGCACGCAAAACTGAGCCAAATGGAGTCTGGTGCTATTTCGGCATACCGGTGGCCTAACACAAAGATATGGGTACTCCACCAGCTAGCATGGAGTGAAACTTGGGCTTAGACCCAAGCCGGATGCAGAACAAGGACAGGCATGCAAGCGGGAGCTAGACTATGCCTCAGGTTGGTCGGCCATGCCCAACCTACACTATCCCTACTATACATTTGGAACCCCCCTTCCCCCCCCCCCACGCTTTGGGCTTTCACCCCAAGCCTCCCTTAGTATCAGGAGTTAATCTTTGGGACAAGCTCGAAACTTACTAAATATGGAATGGCGCTAGATTGCAAATTTGGACACGGGACGAACACCATCGTGTTCAGGCTGATTTCTACATTCCGTAGATATGCCAAATAAGCAAATCTAGACACTTTCCATAAATAGCATTTGGGACTGAAATAAGACTAACACAAAGGGCATGATAGCAAGGGTGTTTAGAAGACACAGTAAGCTATCATCTAGCGATATTAAGGGACCAAGCTCAATATCACGGGGGTTCCTAACACTAGCAAGTGCAAGCCAACATCATGAGTTTCTCATCACCGTGTCAAATCTGCTTGACTAAATGACAACTTAGGATATCCTTCCTTAGTGCCCTTCCGGTCTAAATGCACATGTGATGACTAGTTTCTCAATTCGCTTAGGCGAAGACTAATAACAAGTCCAACAATACCGACCTCCTGTTATCGTGGTAGTAAGGTAAGAGTGTCCGTAAGGACTAGCCGACAGGTAACTTTCGATACTTGAAGTCACATTCGTGACATGTATGAAATGGAACAAGAAGAAAATTTTTTTGCTACACTTTCAGATTATCCTATATATGGTGTTTACATGTTATTAAAAACTAAATGAACTGTTATTAAAAACTAAAAGAACTGTAATGCTCCATGGACAAATGATGTTGTTGTTGTGTTTGTTAGTGATGATAGAGAACTGCCTCATAGTCATGAAATTTGCATATATCCAACTGTAAGCAATTCTAAATGTATCTCAACACTTGATTATAATTGTGATCCAATGGTTTACCCATTAATATTTCCTTTTGGTAACAAAGGCTAGCACAAAAATATTTTTAATTCCGGATGTCAAATTACATTACTTCAATATTATGCATACTGTTTATCTATAAGAGACACAATACACTTTGGTTTTGATCAAATTTTACATGTAGGAAAACTCACACAATAATATATAGTCGATGACTGGTCTTATGGATTATGTTGCAAACCGTGCTACTAATGAAAATATAAATTCAAACAAGATTGTTATTTTACCTTCAAGTTTTGGGGGTGGCCCTAAAGCAATGCAACAAAATTATTTAAATACAATGGCTATAGTTATTCATTTTTCAAAGCCAGATTTTTTCATTACTTTTACATGCACTCCCAAATGGCCAGAAATTTCTAAAAAATTACATCAAAATGAAGGCCTTGAAGATCATCTAGGCTTGGTTTCTAGAGTATTTCATATCAAGCTTAAAGAATTTTTGAATGATATTACTAAAAAATATATTTTTGGAAATTGTATTGCTTTTATATATGTAATTGAATTTCAAAGGAGAGGCCTTCCACATTGTCACTTTCTAGGGATTTTATCTGATGAAAACAAGATTAAAAATTGTGATGCTATTAATCAATACATAATGGCACAATTGCTTGATCCTCAAAATGAACTTGAAATTTTTAAAATAATTACCTCTAATATGATACATAGTCCATGTGGGCATCTTTAACCTAATAGTCCTTGCATGGAAAATGGCACTTGCTCAAAGGCATGTTTTAATTTGGGATGAAATCCCAACTTTTTAAATACACGTTATATATCTGCTCCAAAAGCAATATAGATACTTTTTAAATTTAAAATACATGGTTATTTGACCCCTATAATCTGTCTTTCTATCCATCTTCTAAATTTTCAAAATGTCTATTTTATAGAAGGTTTTACACAAATGGCACTTCAAAGAGCTACTCAAAATGATACAATGTTGACAAAATCGTTTGAATTAAATATAAATGAATGAAATGCTAGACAATGTATTCTGTGTCTCCATCCAATGTTGAATTATATTATTTACATCTTATTTTACTCCATAAAAAAGGTGTTATGTTTTTCAAAGATCTCAAAACAGTTAACAATATTTATTATGACACATTTAAACAAATTTCAGATATAATAGGGTTTATAGTTGATGATATCGAATGGGAAAAATGTTTAGAAAATACTTGCTTTTTTAGAATGCTATCACAATTAAAACAATTATTTGTATTACTTTGTACTTTTTGCACTCCAAATGATCTTTATTTTTTATGGGATAAATTGAAAGACTTCTTTTCTAAGGATTTCATGCAAAAAAATCTAATTTTTCATTATGAATATGTTTTACATAATATAAATATAAAAATGAAAATGCATGGCATAATTAATCAAAACTACCATCTACCTTTCCCGTCTGAAAATTTTGATAATGAAAATAATGTCAACTCAACACAAATATATCAAAATGTTGAACAAAATATTTCTCAATTTAATCAAGAATAGTTAAATATTTTTAATGATATTCTTAATGTTATTGATCACCCAACTGAGCATAATCAATACATTTTCATTGATGGTCCTGGTAGTACTGGTAAAACATTTTTTCTTAACACTCTTAGAAATATTTTACAACAAAAAAAAAAAATGTTGTTAGCATGGCTATTCCAATAAATGAAATATCAACTTTTGCTATAACTGCTAATAGTGAAGCAGGTATAAGAATCAAAACTACTAACGTATTGTTATGGGATGAAATAAGTATAGTTCACACTCATGCATTCACTACTGTTGATCGAATGTTGCGAGACTTAAAAATACATCATTACCTTTTGGTGGCATAATTGTTGTCACTAGTGGGGACTTTAGAGAAACACTTCTAATCATTCCACATGGACATAGGGCATATATTGTTTCAAGTTTTATAAAAATGAATAAATTATAGAGATTATTTAGAAAATTATCTTTGAAAACAAATATGTGACTTGTTGAAAGTGATAAATCATGGGCTGAATGGCTTCTCAAAGTTGGAAATGGTGAAAATTTTCAAAATTTACCATCTTTACCTTCTAACTCCATTTTATTACCTCATACACAACTAATTTATTCATCTAATATTGATTTTGTCTACTCTTCAGTATTTGATATTTCAAACCCTATCAAGTCATATTTACCCCACTTAATGATGACACATTTGCAATCAATAACACTATTGTTTTTAGATTACAAGGTGATTCATATATCTACAAAAGTTTTGATTTTATTGATATTGAACATCCTGAAAAATTTTCAATAGAATTCCTAAATTCTATCACACCTTCTAGTTTCCCACCACATAAAATCTCTTTCAAACAAGGTGCTATTCTTATCCTCCTAAGAAATATGTCTTCATCAGCAAGACTATGCAATGGCACATGTCTCATCCTGAAAACTGCACTACCAAATGTTTTAGACTGTGGAATTATGATGGGGCAATTTAAGGGGACAAAAGTTTTTATCCCACGTATCACACTAATACCATCAAATATAAAAATTCCGTTCAAAATGTCCAAAAGACAATTTCAAATCCATTTAAGTTACTGCTTAACAATCCCCAAATGCCAAGGACAAACATTTGACTGAGTTGGAGTTTACTTGTTCCCCCCTAGTTTTCACTCATGGGCAACTTTATGTGGCTTTATCAAGATACACATCACTACATGGCATTAGAATTAAAGTTCAAAACACCACATGCCAAAGCCACCTCCTTCCTCAAGATCCTTCTGTTTTTACAATCAACATTGTTTATAAAGAGGTTTTATATTAAACCTCTTTGTAAACCACCCAACATTTGTTGGGCAAGTACTCGTCTATCACAATAAGGAGGACTTGCTAAACTTTCTAGGCCACTAGATCTAGCCAATCATAAAGGGGTTATTTCTTTAATTATATGTTTGCAAATAATTGCACTGATGTTTGCTCTCGGCCAATGGGGGGTAGCCAAATTACGTGGGGCGAGAGAAGAAAGCGTTGTGACACATATTGCAGGTAAATGTGTTGACCATGACTGCACTTGCAATCTATCAAGCGAATTGGTTTTGTTTTATAATGTTTTTCTAGGGTTTATGAAATGGCGAGAGAGCCCCTACCACTGCTGCCAATTTGCGATCCAAATCTGAGATGCTGTGTCAACGCACATCTTGGTATAGTGTGTGTCAAGATTTAATTGATTTGTCTGCACTTTCTTCTAGCATTGTTTTAGTTCCAGGTCTGCTTTGGTAGTGGTAGAGTTAAAAAATGAAGGGTCAAATGCTTTTAAGCCAAATCTATATGACAAGATGATAGTTATTGAGCAGAGAATCACTACTGGAAACAACACTATTGTCTTGAAAAATCACCAATGTTGGTTTCTATCGTGCGAGGGATTTACGTCTTTTGTATTGTGTATTCCAGGTGAAAAACTTTCTTCAAACAAGCAAGATTTGTGCGATGTGATCCACCATTTCAGTGTAAGCTAAGATTGTATTTTAAACTTTTCTACTTTCCTACTGTCACCTGTTTTTTGTAGATTGACGCGGAAAACCCATGTGTGATTATGTCTCAAGACATGAGTCGGCATTACCACTACCACCTCCAAAGCCAGCACCGCTTGGAACTCTTTTGTCCAAGTGAAGGGAAGAGGGCGTGGTGACAGGTGTTACACCATGCACTCCTAGGGCTCCATGGCTGCTCTGCTCAGACACAGTTGTGTGGGCATTCCCGTGAGAGTCTGTGCATCTGTAAGCTCCTAGAGGAAGTGCTCACAGGGATAATAGGGGTGTGATGAAGGTCGGGTTCTTGAGGCAGGCATTGCTGTTGCGGTCCTTGAAAAATCCACTGCCGAAGTAGCATAGAACGTATTCAAAATCCCTCAATGCCGGAACCTGCAACTCAAAGCTTGTCACAAAGGTGAGAATGAGGCTGGCCGATTTTACCTGACTCGTAAGCGGGCAAGTAGAATGGTAGTTGAGCACACAATCCAGGCTCCTTTCGGGATCAACTCACTTGCAAGCCGCACCACAGGCAGGGCTGGTGAGGGAGTGCACCAGAAATGAAGAGCTAGGCTATGCTTGAATCCTGGAGCTGACTGGCACCATGGCAGTGGGTGTGGGTGATGCAAGGTATGCGAGTGACTAGATGGTGTGTGTGACCTGAAGGCGTCAAAGGAGTTCTTTGAGCTGTCAAAGGAGGGGAAGCTGAAGAAGCTGAAGTACACTGCCAGTGATCCTCCAGCATCCGCTCAAAGAGCCTGGGAGCCGAGACTACATCTCCCTGGTGGCAGTAGCTGGAGATGATCGCGTTCCAAGTTACGGCGTCACGTCCCGTGCTGGCCGCTGAGTTGAAAACTTCACAAGCTTCCACCATGCAGCCACACCGTCTGTAGAAGCCCAGCAGAGAGTTCACGACGACCACCTCGGCTTCCATCTCGGCATGACAGATCTGCTGGTGGATGGCACTTCCAGTCTCCAGAGCCTTGGAGCTCCCGCAGGCCTGGAGTGCAGTGGTGTAAGTTGGAGCGTCGGGTACTAGGCCTTGGACTTGCTGCATCTGCGAGAAGAGATCCAGTGCAGCCGGTGCTTGCTCCGCCTGGATGTATCCGAGCATCAGCGTTGTCCACGAGACAACATCGTGCCTCTCCATCCGGTCAAAAACTCTCCGCGCATCCACCTCTTTGTAAAGCACCCAGCATTTGCTGGGCAAGTACTCGTATTCAAATATAGATTCTAGGATATTTTAATAGCTAATAGTTGTTGTTCATTTAGATTAATATTTTTATTTATAATTTATAATCTTTCCTAAACACTTTCTAGTATATTCTTATTTATTCTACTATTGATATGGAATAATATTAATCTTGACTCATAAATTATAAATATGTTTATAACCATTGATCAATTAAAATACTCAATGAATGATACTAAGTATTGTCTCTCATATTTTTTGTCCTTCACCATGGTGTGCCAGCTAAGACCCTTTTGCGTCTTTTCAGGTACCATCTTTGTTTGGGTTTCATGGACGGCTCCATCAACCTTGCAAAGTTTACCAACCTCCCAAGAAAAGCTTTTCTCTCATTGAGCAAGAGTAGTGGATTCCATCCAGATTTCTCTCCCAGATCTGTGAGTGGAGCCTCTTCTCTGCTAAGTCGCTGTGTGCCTTGAGCGCCACCATGAAAGTCTGAGCGTTTGGCTGCTGGCTTGCTCATAGCACTCAAGAGCAAAGGTTGTTCTCAGCATATCCCAGGAAACAATGTTTTCCTACTCCATGCAAAGTCTCAGCGTTTGGAGACAGGCCAGCTTCTTGTTCCATCTGATAGAAGATGTGCTGTCCCATGATGATCGTGTTCCAGGCAGCCAACGTCATGTTTATTTGTCCTCCTGAACACTTCTGATGCTTCCACATGTCCACGAGGCTGCTTGTGACGAATGCATCGGCTTTGTATTCACAATTTGCGAGGTAGACCAACCTATCCTGTTCTTCGTCCCATCCTGTTCAACAACCTGTGTTGCAAGCCGCAGTGTAGACTTCGACCATACTTTCACAATTGCACTTCCTTGATTCCCGGCTTGACTCTAGAGAAACTTATCTGGCTGCTATGCCCTGCACTGCTTCTTCTCATCGAAATTGAGATTTGAGCGCCTGCAAGAACAGAGAGCAAAAGTAGTACGTTACCTTTTCTCAAACCTTTCGTCTCAAGCAACTTCTCTGGCCTTTGGAGGTGCACTAACGTCTGCCTCTAGAGGATAGCTCAGTCAAATCGAAACTTGGTAGGTTCTTGCTCTATTTTCCAGTCCATGTTCCGAGCCAGCTGTGCAATAACTTCCAAGTCTGGTTATGTGATCTTCACTGTCCGTGAGCAAGAGCCTGCTGTCTTCTTGCTCTGCAACTTCATCTCCTTGAAGATTGTTTGTACACAATCTTCCATGTGACAACGCATGCACTGTGCTGAGTTACGCATCACTGCCAGTGTTGGCAGGACACTTTGAGGAGAATCCTAGAGTGCCATTGCTGTGCGAACCACGAGTGTGAGCTTCCAGCTGTTTCGTCTCAGTCGGAGGATCGTCCACCACAACTTCGATCTGCCACCTGGGATCCTGAAAGATCACATTACTGCGCTGCTTCCTTCGAGATAACATCCATCGCACGAGCAAAAAGCACGCGAGCAGCACCAAGATCGCAACCAAAACCCAGAGAAGAAACTGGAGCAGCGACCACGGCGTCCTCCGAACCACTGTAACTACTGCTGCGGGTGTTGGTGTGGCCACTGCTGCGTCGTGACCGTCGCGACGATGGTGGTGGTGGTTGTGGCGTCCTCCATGGTGGTGACCATGGTGATGGTGGTGAACAACCAGAGGAGCTCCATCACCGTGATGATGATGGTACACTGCTGCTGCTGGAGCTGGATGGTGGTGGCGGGCATGATCGAGGATAGCAGGCGTTGGAGCTTGATGAGCAGGGTGGCCGTGAGCAGGGTGAACGAAAGCAGCTGGCGCTGGGGCTCGATCTGGAGCGTCACCTTGAAGAACTGGAGCTAAAGCTGGCGCTGGCTCGTGGCCTTGGTGTCCATGGTGGTGTGCTGGATGTGCTGGAGCTAGAGCTGGAGCTCGCGGGTGTGAAGCTCGGTGATGGCCGCCATGCCAGGGCGCTTGAGCTCGGTGGGCAAGCATTGGGGCGGCGTGAGGGCGAGAGACCATAGCTTACCTGACGAGAGCTTCGACAATAGAAAAATCCAAGCGAGAAAGATTATAACCTAACCCTTGACTTAGAAAAAATAAAGAGGTACTTTTGGCTTTGTGAAAAAAAAAACAAGTGGACTTGAGAGCTGGTGACGCTGTGGATTGTCAGCAAGGGTGCCATCGGGGTTGAGCATGCCAAAGAGCCCAAACCTAGATGTGAACAGTGATTTAATCTCACAATCACGAAATGCTCTAGGTATTTCAAAAAGAGAAAAATAATTTTAATTTTATGGCAACTCGCAGTGAACGAAACTTTTTACTCACTTTTTCAAACCTCTGGAAACTTGGCACTCATTGAATGTAAGTCATGGAGTTCATAGAGACTCTCAGGCAACAATGTGCATAAATTACTTCCTTTTGCAAAAAAGTGGGAAAATCTATCCATTGCTGTTTTGATATTCTCACAGTGCAACATAGCTCTATATTGATATTGATCCACAGCTCCTCCAGAGTAGAATCGGTCAAAACACCTGGAACGATCCAAGAATCAAACATATTTGGAGATGCAAGTATCGATCCCAAAAATCCAAAGCTTTTCTTTTCACCATTCTAGTACTCATCCTGGGATTTCAAAAGCTTTTTAAGAGATGAGGTTTGGAAGGAACAGCAAGCTTTTATAGCTAAGCAGCTACATGGAAATGATATGTACATACTCAAGGTCATGAAATCTAATTTTGGCAACATCCTATGAAGTGTTCTAGGTTTAAGGCCGAGGGATTTGTGGAGAATACCCTCAAAAAGATGTTTGTGGAATCTATAGGATGGGCTGCTTGATGTGTACGAGAGGGAACTCCTCTATTCCAGATCATCCCAATTTGATTTATATTGTGTTGGTTTTACGAATTGCTTTACTCATCCTCTTGAATAACATTGCAAAGCAAAACACTAGCCTTGTTCTTGTTGTTTAAAAAGAACTTAAAATGGCATCTCTCTCAAATAGCTATCACCATCAAGGATTATGCTTTATATAAAATGATTTGCTAATACAAGGAGCTAGTAAATAATGAGCCAAGGGAGTTGACAATAATATTCTGATATACTAAAGAATATTCTATTAAGGTCTTAACTGCAAACAGTTTTATTAACCAGGTATTTTAAATAAAATTAGTAATTTAATTAATATTTACATTTGTTTAAATTACCACCATCTAATCTTTGTGGTAGAGGTTTTGTGTTATCACCAAAGATACCAAACACCATAGATCTATTATTGGTTTAGTTAAGCAAACTTGAAGTGGTATTAAATATAATTTGAACATGCTTGGATATTCTAGAATATTTTACTATCTAATGGTTGTTGTTCATTTAGAACATTAATATCAAAGGTGGTTATAATGACAAACCAAAATAAATGTACAATCCTATCATTGATGGTGGTATTCAATAGAGCTATAAAGGTTTGGACTATCTATGATATTGTTCTTGAGTTGCAAGCCATTAACCAAAATTAACAAAAGATGCAAGAGGAGATGTATGGCATAATGGCTATTATGTGTGGGAATATTAATGCACTTGAGGCCAGACATGGTGGTTTTCCAGTAAGACTTCCTTGATGGATTCAATGTAATATAAATAAATTAAATTATTTTTTTTTAAAAATAAATGCTAAAAAGGGGATAGTTCCATGTTCTATGCTCCACAGCTACTTCCAGATCATGCTACCACACTAGAGCAAGGGGGAATGACCTCAGACACTAGTTCATCATCTATTGCTTCAGCTGTGAATCACATTCATGTGGAGAAGTCAATTTGTCTAGTCAATCTAGATAATAGTAATGTTATTCCTATTTATTTATTCAATAGAAGGTTATAATTACAAACATATTTATAATTTATAAACACTAATTGGAAAGCCAACATTCATTGTGACAACAAGGGGTGGTCAGAAGAAATGGTCCTTAGAAAGCACAATTTGGGACAGCGTGGTCTGGTGGATCAACCAGATGTCTTGGATGCATCAATGTCACCTTGCTTTGGAGGTCCTTGAGTCATTCAATCCAAACACCTTCAAGCTCCTATCAAGTTTGTTGATGGTCATATGTTGGTATATGAGTAAATTTTGTTAATTGAATCATTTTAGGAACTAGATATTGTTGAGGAATCCACTATGGGGGGTTTCAAATGTATAGTAGGTAAAGGTATAATTTAGCTTTCACTTGCGTGCTTATTTTTGTTCTTTATTCAGTTTGGGTCCAAGCCCAAACTCCATACTATATTAATTAGTGAAGTACCTATATTCTTGTGTTAGACCATTGGTATGTTGAAATAGTGCCAAACTCCATTTGGCTCTATTTTGCATGTTAGTTCTAACATTAGGATGCTAGAAACTCTTGGATTATTCCAATATCACTTGGTGCCCCTATCCCTTCTTTCCTTAGGTTATACATTTGAGAGTCATTCTATGTTTCGCTTTCTTCACTCTTTAGGTTTCATGTTTAGAAGTTTGGCTCCATCCTTTCATTCAATGGCCTAAAGTTTTAAAACTTGAGTTTTACTCTATTGTCCTTAGACATGTATGTGCTATATAGCAAGTGATATGTGGCACATAGAGGGTTTAGGTTCTTCTTCGTGGTTATCCTATGGTAAATCATCATAAAATAAAGAGTAAAAATCACATCTATTATATTTATATATTGTATTTCTCAAGTCGTTCCCTTTGGTTGCTTACACTCTTCAAAGTAATTGAATTCTTTATCAATAAGAGTCCATTCCTATAAATTTGATTTTTGAATATTTTCTAAGAATCAAATTATAGCAACACACTAAGGATGGGTATGGCACAATTAAAATTATACTGCAAAACATCAAAAGCTTAATTTGAAGAGGATATAACTATAGAAACAATATTATTAGGTGATAATAATGATATATCATTATAACCTTAAATGACACACTCTTTGATCGATA